AAGAAAAAAACATCTATTTGAGGATATGTACCTTCAGTCCTAAACCATAGTAATTCTAACACTAGAAAGATCCTAATCAACATACAAACATTATTTTGTTTAAGTTCTCAGCTTTGAATATTGTTTAATTGACATATAATATATTAGTTTAAGGTGTGCAACATAATTATTCAATATTTGTGTATATTGGGAAACTAGTGGCCCAGTGCAAGAAATTCATGCACATTAAAAGGGGATTAATTAGAGGAAATACTTTAATATTGCTATTTGCCCTTTCTCTATAATAGAAGAGTCAGAGATGAAAGAAAATTAGGAAAATGTATATGAAAATCTTCCTCCTGTCAGAGTCTGGGGCGTACCATGGGACCCAGAGTCAAGTCCCCACCCACTTACATGCACCTCGAAATCATGACAGAACCAAACCTGGCCAGCCCCACCACCATTGGGCTAGATCCAGACCTTGTAAAGCCCCACCAGGCAGGGGGCATGGCCTCAGGTCGCCCAGCTCGGTAACAGGGTAGGGGCACATCTTGAGGTCCCCCATCAAGCCCCACCAGGTGGTGGGCATGGCCTGAGGTCACCCATCAAGCCCTACTGGGCGGGGGGCACACCTTGAGGTCCCACGTCAATCCCTGCCAGGTGGGGGGCATTGCCTGAGGTCTCCAGAGCATCATTGCCTGAGGTCTCCTGTCAAGCCCCACCAGGTGAGGGGTGTGGCCTCAGGTCTCCCAGCCCGGTGCCAGGGCAGGGTTGTGGGCTCAGATCCCCTGGCCCAGTGCTGCGGCGGGGGGCCGTGTCCTGAGGTCCCCCGTCAAGCCCCATGATGGGGTTGGGGGCACAGCCTCAGGTCCCTACTGATTGCTCATTAAGGCTTGTTACGGGAACTCAGCCTCCGCTGTGGGTGCAACCATCTTGTGTTACGGAACCCCACCACCACCACTGCCTCCACTATGAGCAACGCCATCTTTGTGGTGGAGTGATGGTCAATTTGCATATTTCCTCTTTATTATATAGGATTACTCTTTAAATAAGCAAAGAGACTTACCTTAACAGAAGAAGAAAATGGAGTCTGCAGCAGAGATTGAGTTATAGAGCCTACCACTTTAAATCAGAATGACATCACTTGACATCTCAGTTATTACCAATTAGAGGCCCAGTGAACAAATTTGTGCATGGGTGGAGTCTGGCCGGCCCGGCCCCAATCAGGGTGGATCCAGGCTAGGCCTGTCGGGAGGAGGAGATGGTGGGTGATTGGCCAGTGGGCCCCACCTCCAATTGGGGTTGGGGAGCTGATTGGGGGTGGGCTTGGCCATGGGGAAGGGCTGTGGGTGGTTGGCCAGCTGACGCTGCCCCTGATTGGGGTCGGGGGGCTGATCTGGGGTGGGGCCAAGTGAGGGGAGGGGCTACAGGAAGTTGGCCAGCTGGCCCCACCCCCTACTGGGATGGGGGGCAATCAGGGGTGGGGCCAACCAGGGGGGGCTGCAGGAGGCAGATCAGGGTTGTGGGGGCCCATTGGGGGCGGGGCTTGCCAGGGGGAGGGGGC